GAAAATTGATTTCATAGGGGAATAGCAAAAGTTTGACTGAGCGAATTTTTCCCGGTAAATGGTAAGACAGATGATGCAGTGATGAAGCTAGAATTCATATGTGCATTAACACAATACGAATATATCATTACAGCGAAAAAGAAAGGAAATATCAAAATAAAAATAGTAATTGAGTGTGAAGGGCGAAATTAACGCTTCGAGAAAATTGATTTCATAGGGGAATAGCAAAAGTTTGACTGAGCGAAATTTTCCCGGTAAACAGTAAGACAGTTGATGCAGTGATGAAGCTAGCATTCATATGTGCATTAACACAATACAAAAGAGAATAACGACGAACAAAAGGATTGAATGACACGTAACAAAGAAGAGGGATGTATGTTTTAATGGTGTGCTATATTGTATTTTACTTTACTTAAAATGACATGCTCCAAAAATATTTAACCGGAATAAATCCATCTCGTTCAACCAGACTCTTGTTGTCTGCGCATGCTACGCCGAACAGAGATTATAAGTGATAAAGCGTCTGGTTGAACGAGACTAGAATAAATCTTACTCCAAATCACTTATGAGTTTGTTTGCTTCCTATTGTTGATGAAGAAGTGAATCTTGCATTCATCTATACATAAACACATGACAATGAGGAATAAAGATGAATACACGGATTTAATGACATGTGACAAATAGGGTACAGTGCATTGATCGAAGGATTAATGGTTTAATAATGTGCTATATTGTGTTGTTTTTCCTTAATTCCCTAGACATGATAAAATGGTTATACCGGAATATATCCGACTCAAAACAAATTATGAGCATTTTTTTTCGCCACCCATTGCTTACCTCGAACCTTATATAGCACCAAATTAAGCACAATTCTGTTGAAACTCTTCATCATACTTTTAATGCTTGTTTTTTAGCATATGCCTTATTCCTGAACGGCGACCCAAACCTAAAATACGATACCCAAAATCAATATACACTGACCATCACGTGCATGGACAACTTTGGCTTGTCCTCTACCAGGGACATTGTGGTCAGCATCACAGAAAATGCTTCACCATCAATGGACAATCTCCCAAGTGAGTATTTATGTTGATGCCTGCTATACGTGACTGCTTAGATGTCTTTTTGTGTCTTTTTGAAAAAAAGACGGTGTACCGATGAAAACAATTGCCCTTTCCCTACGAACATGTCAGGGCCACAGACCATAAAGAAACAATACTTATCAGCTTATACTAATCACTCTAAAATGTCCGGATGGAAGCGCATCGGGGCCGTGACTGTGGGAGGAAACCGGAGCACCTGTAAAAACACGTCGGCGGGAAGGTGATACATAAACTGTTAATGCCCGATCAAGGAATCGAACCTTTGTCGTGTTGCAAAAAGGGGCGTGCGTTATCCAATGCGCCACCCGAAAAACCAATATAATTATAACTTATCAGTGAATAGTCATATGCTTAATTCATATAAAGCAATATGCTATTGGGAAAATACAGATAAAAACATGGATCATGCTGGATTGGCAATGATTGGCAATTCGAAGAGATAAGGAATCATCATAAGGTTCCCTTTTCAATATTCCATGATAGAAAATTGTTTGTTGGTAAATATTGCCTATCAATATTCTATAAAATTTAGAAATGTTATGATGAAATATTATTCACAAAGA